CAAAAAGATCCAGAAAAACACATGTCAAAAATGTTATAAATTGATTTGCATTTTAATGAGGGAAGTAAGTATTTGACCCCCTCTCAATCAGAAAGATTTCTGGCTCCCACTCTTAAAGGGAGTGCTCCTAATCTCAGCTTGTTACCTGTATAAAAATACACCTGTCCACAGAAGCAATCAATCAATCAGATTCCAAACTCTCCACCATGGCCAAGACCAAAGAGCTCTCCAAGGATGTCAGAGACAAGATTGTAGACCTACACAAGGCTGGAATGGGCTACAAGACCATCGCCAAGCAGCTTGGCGAGAAGGTGACAACAGTTGGTGCGATTATTCGCAAATGGAAGAAACACAAAAGACCTGTCAATCTCCCTCGGCCTGGGGCTCCATGCAAGATCTCACCTCGTGGAGTTGCAATGATCATGAGAACAGTGAGGAATCAGCCCAGAACTACACAGGAGGATCTTGTCAATGATCTCAAGGCAGCTGGGACCATAGTCACCAAGAAATTGGTAACACACTACGCCGTGAAGGACTGAAATCCTGCAACGCCCGCAAGGTCCCCCTGCTCAAGAAAGCACATATACAGGCCTGTCTGAAGTTTGCCAATGAACATCTGAATGATTCAGAGGAGAACTGGGTGAAAGTGTTGTGGTCAGATGACACCAAAATGGAGCTCTTTGGCATCAACTCAACTTGCGGTGTTTGGAGGAGGAGGAATGCTGCCTATGACCCCAAGAACACCATCCCCACCGTCAAACATGGAGGTGGAAACATTATGCTTTGGGGGTGTTTTTCTACTAAGGGGACAGGACAACTTCACCGCATCAAAGGGACAATGGATGGGGCCATGTACTGTCAAATCTTGGGTGAGAACCTCCTTCCCTCAGCCAGGGCATTGAAAATGGGTCCTGGATCGGTATTCCAGCATGACAATGACCCAAAACACACGGCCAAGGCAATAATAATAATAATAATAATAATAATAATAATAATAATAATAATAATAATAATAATAATAATAATAATAATATGCCATTTAGCAGACGCTTTTATCCAAAGCGACTTACAGTCATGCGTGCATACATTTTTTTTTTTTGTGTATGGGTGGTCCCGGGGATCGAACCCACTACCTTGGCGTTACAAGCGCCGTGCTCTACCAGCTGAGCTACAGAGGACCACGCAGCAAAGGAGTGGCTCAAGAATAAGCACATTAAGGTCCTGGAGTGGCCTAGCCAGTCTCCAGACCTTAATTCCATAGAAAATCTGTGGAGGGAGCTGAAGGTTCGAGTTGCCAAACATCAGCCTCGAAACCTTAATGACTTGGAGAAGATCTGCAAAGAGGAGTGGAACAAAATCCCTCCTGAGATGTGTGCAAACCTGGTGGCCAACTACAAGAAACGTCTGACCTCTGATTGCCAACAAGGGTTTTGCCACCAAGTACTAAGTCATGTTTTGCAGAGGGGTCAAATACCTATTTCCCTCATTAAAATGCAAATCAATTTATAACATTTTTGACATGCGTTTTTCAGGATTTTTTTGTTGTTATTCTGTCTCTCACTGTTCAAATAAACCCACCATTAAAATTATAGACTGATCATGTCTTTGTCAGTGGGCAAACGTACAAAATCAGTAGGGGATCAAATACTTTTTTCCCTCACTGTATGTAATTGGAGGTTGTATTAAGCCTATACCTGCCATTTACTATTGTATTTAAATGTTGCCCTTTTCAGAACCACACAAACTCTTGGTTAACACAATTGTCTGTGCCGTTACTGCTCTGTGAATCAGCGTCATTAAACAACCTCAACTGGAATCCTACCGGTCTGTCATCTGTGCCCTTACAAGCACCTGGGAGAGAACACATAGTTCTAAGTAAAACCTAACCCTACAGAATATACAGTCCACCGAGTCCTCAACTACAGGCCCAAACACACCAAGACAGTCATGAAGAGGGCACGACAACACCTTCCCCCCCGTTGTGAGGTCAGAACGCTCAGATCAACCCTACTCCTCGGCCAGATTGTCCAGTGTGCGCTCTGAACACTGAGAAACGAATGGACAATCTGACAACGCTCTGAATTTACCAACGCCCAGAGCCACTCAGAGCACTCTGGCACTCGAGATTAAATTTGAGAAGCATTTTGCTACACCTGCAATAACATCTGCTAAATATGTGTATGTGACCAACAAAATTTGATTTAGGAACACACCCTTAATCTACACAGGAAGGCTGTCCTACCCTAGTGCTTGCTTAGCTGTAAGCAAGCGGGTCAGATCTGCTGGCTAACACTATAGTAAACTATGCTAGTCTAGTTTAGTCTATTAACAAACGTTGCTCTCAATGTCCCCCCACAGTTCCACATAGCACACTCACAGATACATGATTGTGTAAACGTTTTCATTAGCTTATCCTTAGGCAAAGTACTAAACTGGAAATTAGAAATGGACCAACAAATATTTACGCGCTGGCTAAAGTACATTCATTTCACAATGAACGTGTTTGGTGTCCAGTTGTGTTCAGTAAGCTACAATTGAAGACCGCTTATATGGCCACCCGTTAGCCCTAGTTAAGCATATAACGTTAGTTAGCCATGCTGTCATGAATCTAGAGTCAGTAGACCCAATTTGTGGAATATCCCTCCGATATGGTTCTTGAAGTTGAAGGTGTGGAGCTGGAGTTAATTTAGTTATATTAGCTAAATATCAAAGTTGCAGTACTAACTGTCGTTAGCTAGCTACTTAAATAGTTTGGTGACCATAATAAACATCCAAATAATGTTAAATTTAAAATAGTTCAATAAGAGTTAGCTACGTTATGGATTACTGAGTAACGACGTGGCAACAGGCTGCCCAGTCCAACTGAGTTGACGTTTCACAAACTAGCTAAATAGCTAGGATAGCAACTACTAGCATAAATGGTTAGCTAAATTAGCGTTAGCTAACTATATGTTTTAGCAAAATATGATCTCTCATTCACTTCGATTTTAAACTCCACTTGTTATTTGAAACACCTTTATTTAGGAGCGCAAGGTAACGGCGAAAAACAACGTTAACCAACTTTTAGCTAGCTAATTTCACTCATCTTGACTGAAGCTGCATGGCTAACTAACGCTAATTTGTTAGTTGGAGATGGCTTAGTGTAGAATGCCTTTCTATTTTAATTGTGTGATAAATCAAAATAGTTGGAGTTTATATAAATCGATTGAAATGTTTTAGCTAAATAATATAGCTAGCGTTATGTTAGCCAATTTACCTTGCTTTTTCTGTGTCTGTTATCTCTGACGTTGCAGCTATCCAGCTGCCATCAGAAACTTTTCTTTTGAGAGTTGCCAGTAAACTAGCTTTGTCTCCACCCCCAGCCAGAAAGGTCACAATACCTGCATTTATACTGAACAACAATATAAACGTAACAATTTCAAAATGTTTAATGAGTTACAGTTCATAGAAGGAAATCAGTCAATTTAAATAAATTCATTAGGACCTAATCTATGGATTTCACATGACTGGACAGGGGTGTAGCCATGGGAGGGCAAAGGTCCTACCACTTGGGAGCCAGGTCCACCAACTGGGGAGCCAGGCCCAGCCAATCAGAATGAGTTTTTCCCCACAAAAGGGCTTTATTAGAGACAGAAATACTCCTCCGCACCCCCGCAGAAGCCGGATGAGGAGGTATGGGCTGCCGTGGTTACACATTGGTCTACGGTTGTGAGGCCGGTTGGATGTACTGCCAAATTCTCTAAAACAACGTTGGAGGTGGCTTATGGTAGATAAATGAACATTACATTCTCTGGCAACAGCTCTGTTGGACATTCCTGCAGGCAACATGCCAATTGCATGCTCCCTTAAAATTTGAGACATCTGTGGCATTGTTTTGTGACAAAACTGCACATTTTAGTGGCCTTTTGTTCCCAGCACAAGGTGAACCTGTGTAATGATGCTGTTTAATCAGCTTCTTGATATGCCACACCTCTCAGGTGGAGGGATTATCTTGGCAAAGGAGAAATGCTCACTAACAGGGATGTAAACAAATTTGTGCACAATTAGAAATATTGTTTTGTGCATATGGAACATTTCTGGGATCTTTTATTTCAGCTCATGAAAAATGGGACCAACACTTTACATGTTGCATTTATATTTTAGTTTAGTAGTATTTTTGGTATTTCACTAGAAATTGACCTTTTTGGTAAATGTGAACACATTATAGGCTGGTGTGACCCAGAATCTGGGTTTACAGGAGACGTTGAATATTGCGATTCTCGATTCAACGACTCTTTTGTAAACCCATATTCTGGTTGGCAGTTTAATAAATTTTTTCATATGACTGACTGAACATGCTAAGTCTGGTGGCACAATTTTCCAACATAGGCCTATTAGCCATATGTTTTATGTATTGGTCTTTGAGAAAGGTTATGCTTATTTTAAGATCATTTATAATGTAGCTCTACAATGAACTGGGAAATGTATAATTGTTATTTACATATATTTCAAGATGTGCTGTCTAATGAAGTGTAAGTTCATGAATCAGAGTCAAATATTGGGCAGTGTAACACATACTCCATGGACAGGTTGTGTTCCCATTGACAATGCTTGATTTACATTAGTCAGGAAGTTGATCCTCCCCATTTACAGTTTAGATGTACCATTAGGCTTAAATACATTCAGGTACAGTCTGATAATGCACACAAAATGTTACTTACAGATGTACCAACAATTCTTGTTGCCATGTCAATTGCTAATCTTCCTTGAATAGGCTAATTTGCATACCACCCCCAAAGTTTAGAGACACCATGCTAGGACCTCCTCATTGCAATTATACACACCCACCCCTGCCAAGTTCCAAACCATCATACATTTATCAAGTAATAAATCTAAAGTAAAAATGACATGGAAGAATTCAAATGCGTGGAGTTTTATTATAGATTAGAAAAGGGGCTGAACAAGTATAAAAAATAATTGAGAGGCATATTTAGTATTCAGCTTCTTCTGCCTCACAACAATCACCAGTCTGCCCCCACCTCTTCATAATCCTTCTCCAGAGCAGCCATGTCCTCTCTGGCCTCAGAGAACTCCCCTTCCTCCATGCCTTCACCCACATACCAGTGCACAAAGGCCTGCTTGGCATAAATCAGGTCAAACTTGTGGTCCAGGCGACTCCAAGCCTCTGCAATAGCTGTGGTGATACTCAGCATGCACACAGCTCTCTGCACCTTGGCCAGATCACCCCCAGGCACAACAGTAGGTGGCTGGTAGATGATCCCCACCTTGAATCCGGTGGGACACCAGTCCACAAATTGAATGGATTTGCGGGTCTTGATGTGGGCGATGGATGCGTTGACGTCTTTGGGCACCACATCACCACGGTACAGCAAGCAGCAGGCCATGTACTTGCCAAGCCTAGGATCACACTTTACCATGCGTTTGTGATCTCAGGAACAGAGAGTTGCTCGTGATAGGCCCTTTCTGCGGAGATGATGGCAGCGTAAGTGACCAGGGGGAAGTGGATACAGGGGTAAGGTACCAGGTTGGTCTGAAACTGTCAGGTCCACATTGAGTGCACCATAAAAGCACAGGGAGGCAGTGATTAAGGAGACGATCTGGGCAATGAGGCGGTTCAGATTAGTGTAAAATGGACACGCCACACCAAGATTACACTTGCATATGTCAAAGATTGCCCTTTCATGGTGGATAATGAGGCAATCAGAGTGCTCCAGAGTGGTGTGTGTGGTCAGGATGGAGTTGTAGGGCTCCACAGTTTGGACTTCTTGCCGTAATCTACAGACAGGCGCTCCATCAACAGCGAAGCAGAGCCAGTCCCACCCCCAAAACTATGGAAGATGAGGAAGCCTTGTAGTCCAGTGCATCGGTCAGCCTGAGGAGAAAATAACACATTAAACAGTTTATCCAAATTTCTCCATACATGGACTTGCTATTAGACATTCAGAGCCACTCACCATTTTACGCATTCTGTCCAGTACAGATTCCACAATCGCCGTACCAATAGTGTAATGGCCACGTGCATAGTTATTGGCAGCGTCCTCCTTGCCACTGATGAGTTGTTCAGGGTGATACAACTGGCGGTAGTGTCCATTCCTTATCTCATCTAGAATAAATTATTTTGACGCATGCAGAAAGGGAAGGCACAAAAGAAAACTATACAGTATGAACAAAATTCAAGACATTACATGCCAATGAACATCATGCCATTTGAGGTTGTAGATCATGCTATTCAACTATGTCTTCCATACCCACAACTGTAGGCTCCAAATCTATGAAGATAGCCCTGGGAACATGTTTCCCACCTCCAGTCTCACTGAAGAAGGTACCAAATGAGGAGTCAGCCAGGAAAGCAGTACTGGACTCATGGATTCTTCAATCTGTCTGGAAACCATGTTCCAGGCAATACAACTCCCAACATGAATTGCCCATCTGGACACCTGCTTGACCGATGTGTACAGAAATGCACTCCCTCTGTCAAGACAATAAATAATTGGATTCAATGTCCATAGCTTCTACTTTTTTTCAAATGTGCTATACTGCATGTTGTAGCCCAACTATTGAGGATCAATGACAGGGAAAGTGGGTCTCATAACATTTTTGGGGGAGATTACCTAAATACTATAGTGTAAACATAACTCCAGAGAAAAGCTCAAAATAGGTCTCATTTGAAAATACCATTATATTTATTTTGTTATTAAACACTTCAGCTTACCATTGTTCAGCAGCTACAAATGGAATTTGATTTCAAAATGGGACACTTGACCAAAACCCTGAAACAGTTTAACAGATTCGACATGTAACCTACAAGTGCAAACAAAACAAATACATGTTCACGTCAACCTGGTAGTACTAAACGCTTCAGTCTAACGCATACCACAACAGCACACTCACCTTGCACAGATGGAGCATTGTTAATGGGCCTGGATTATACATTATTTAGCAATCAAGTGTGGGGGTGTGGCTTTCAATTGACATTGATTTAAAGAGGTCATTTTTATTTTTAGCTACCAAATTATACCCAACAATAGGGTGATATCAGGCTATACCAAAGATGGTGGATAAATGAAGATAGTTCACTCAGGCCGTTTACCATTGGAAAAAATTGTCAGTTCCTGTCTACTTAAGTGGGTGGCTCTCCTGTAGACGCCAATGCGATAGCAGCTGGGTCTGGCCTACTTAGTTAATTGACTTCCATTGAAACAGAAAAAAATAATGAGTGGGATGTCTCGCTTCCTCTTCCATCTCTGGCTATACTATAGGGTTTTGGTTAGAAGGGATACAGCTTGTGTCAAAATTGACTTTTCGTAGCAGGTTTAGAATAACTTACGCAGCAGGTTAGGAAAAGGGTTAGGGCTACCTAAAAATAAACAACTTTAGACATCAATTTGACAAAAGTTGTTTCCCATCTACACATGACTGTACTATAGCTCAGGGGTATTAAAATCTTGCCCTAAGAGGTCCGGAGTCTGCTGGTTTTCTGTTCTACCTGATCATTAATTGCACCCACCTGGTGTCCCAGGTCTAAATCAGTCCCTGATTAGAGGGGAATAATTAAAAAAAGCAGTGGAAATGACTTCAAGCGAGATTTGAATTTGCGGGATATAGCCTATCTATTTCATGATTCAAAGCCTAGTCCTGGACTAAAAGGCACTTTCAATAGAGGGTTCATTCTATGAATAGAGTGCCTTTTGGGTGGTGTATTTATTTCACCTAAAGAGCACATTTCTACCATCTCAAGAGGTTAAATAAAATCCACTTAAATCAGCCAAACTCCCCTTGTGACAAGGGGAATGGAAGATTGAGAGGGGAAATTGAATGCAAGCTTAACAACAATATTTGAACTTCTTAAAACATGTTATGTTCGACACTCACTTTTTATTTTACCACAAACCACCAGAAATGGGCCAAAAAGAGTAGTAGCAGCTCAACTGCTTTTACACTATAATTCCACTTCTAGATACTCAATGTTACTTTAGAAAAAATATTTTAAAATGAACAGTTTTACCATATTAAAATAAGAGTTCAGTTCATGTTACAAGGTTGACCTTAAACCGCAGGGACAAATGTAAAGTAATCACCAATCACAGAGAAAAAAGTGGGTTAAAATGTAATTCATTGAGGACAACTCAGTTATTTGAATGAAAACACACTACTAATGCACATTTTATATGGTTGTCACGACTTCCGCCGAGGCTGCCCCCCCTCCTGGTTCAGGCAGGGTTTGGCGTTCGTCGTCACCGGAGTACTAGCCACTGCCGATCCCATTCTCATCACTCCACTTGTCATGTCTTGTCAATCACACACACCTGGTGCTCATTCCCCTAATTAGTATGTGTATAAGTGTTCCCTCTGTTCCCCTTCCCCTTGTCTTTGTGAGTGATTGGTTTGTTGTGAGGGCGTGTAGGTCAGTTGAGCTACATTTCACTGTGTTATTGCCAAGGTGGAGGTTTTCCCTTGTATAGTTTCGTTTGGCGTTTGATTTATGCAAACCGATTAAACTCTGGTTTCGGTATTTGACCTCCTGCGCCTGATTCCTTCTTTCACACCTCGTCACAATGGTTTAGTTTGTAGATGTACAGTATGTGATCCAACTGTTCAATTGAGTGTTTTTTCAACATTTGCACACATGTCTGAAGGACATAAAAGGCACTCTATTGGTGGAATGAACCCGAGATTCTCCATAACAGGCCCTTACCTAACCTCCTGTCCGCCCATCTGCCAGTAATTAAAGTTGGAAATTAAAACATTGCAGATTGTCAAATGAATTTTCCATATAACAGAATACTAATCAGCTACCATTCGATTATTATTTTTTGAATATACAGCTGTCCTGTATAGACTACCTATACCTGCATGACAGGAGCGGTCCTCCCGCTCTCTCCCAGCTTGGATAGAAAGTTGTTGTGCGTAAAACTAGTCTATTAATGCCAAATAATACAGTCAGTCCACCCTCAAAATACTAGCTTACTAGGGATTGTTTTATTATGTAGTGTACTATCTATAGCTATACCATCTTTAGCAGCGATTTAGGCGTTCTGTATAAACTTTTTATACAAATTTGACTACACATCAAATAGCATAACAATGAGGAAAAAGTAGTTGGCTTGAAGATAAATTCAGCCTCTATTTATTGTTGAACTCAGCGGGTTTTGTCTGGCTAACAGCCTACACAAATGGGCTGCAATATTCAAGGTAAAAATTAATTAGGCCTAAATCAAATCTAAATCAAATCTAAGTCTAATTTGAGACTCCCCTGGTGTATAAAAGGCTGTGAAGTATTTGTAGTTAATCATATCAGTAATGTTAGTTCATCATATCAGAGCTGTAGTTCTGCGCACCGGTGAAGTGAAGCAGAGCATGCTGGGTGATCTCCAGCTCAGAGAAGAAGATCAAGCTCGAGAGAAGTCATGTGAGAGAAAGTTCCAGCTGTCCTTGTGTTTTCCCAGCAGTTAACTTTCATTGTGTTAGCTAAGGCCAGTGTGCATCCTTGTTGATATGTAAGTAGACATTTCATATCTTTCAGGTGTTTATGTCTGAAGATGCACTCTGCGACAATAATGTCATATTTGTGGTCCTCTGTAGCTCAGCTGGTAGATCACGGCGCTTGTAACGCCAAGGTAGTGGGTTCGATCCCCGGGACCACCCATACACAAAAATGTATGCACGCATGACTGTAAGTCGCTTTGGATAAAAGCGTCTGTAGCTCAGCTGGTAGAGCACGGCGCTTGTAACGCCAAGGTAGTGGGTTCGATCCCCGGGACCACCCATACACAAAAATGTATGCACGCATGACTGTAAGTCGCTTTGGATAAAAGCGTCTGCTAAATGGCATATTATTATTATTTTATTATATTTCAGGTTATGCTAATTAGTAGTTTTTACTGCGGCTAGCTATTGTCAGCTGGCTAGCTCTGTTTTGGTTGTCATATAATTTCGGACATTTAACCCTGTATTTGTATAGGATCATGTCCCCTGGGGCGTTGTTTATATGCCCTGTAATTGTATAGGTGTATGGTACATCATTATATGGGTATTACATTGTATTTCACTGTTTAGAGGTATTCAAGTTCATTGTGCAGTTGAAGCCCTGTACTGAAGATGATGGTGTTATGCTTTGTTGTACCAGTGTTGCCAGTGTTGTTTTTTTGTTGTTATTCTGTCTCTCACTGTTCAAATAAACCTACCATTAAAATTATAGACTGATCATTTCTTTGTAAGTGGGCAAACGTACAAAATCAGCAGGGGATCAAATACTTTTTTCCCTCACTGTACGTACATACGCACATACATACAGTTGAAGTCGGAAGTTTACATACACCTTAGCCAAATACATTTAAACTCAGTTTTTCACAATTCCTGACATTTAATCCTAGTAAAAATTCCCTGTCTTAGGTCAGTTAGGATCACCACTTTATTTTAAGAATGTGAAATGTCAGAATAATAGTAGAGATCATTATTTATTTCAGCTTTTATTTCTTTCATCACATTAACAGTGGGTCAGAAGTTTACATACACTCAATTAGTATTTGGTAGCATTGCCTTTAAATTGTTTAACTTGGGTCAAACGTTTGCGGGTAGCCTTCCACAATAAGTTGGGTGAATTTTGGCCCATTCCTCCTGACAGAGCTGGTCAGGTTTGTAGGCCTCCTTGCTTGCAAACGCTTTTTCAGTTCAGCCCACAACTTTTCTATAGGATTGATGTCAGGGCTTTGTGATGGCCACTCCAATACCTTGACTTTGTCCTTAATCCATTTTGCCACAACTTTAGAAGTATGCTTGGGGTCATTGACCATTTGGAAGACTCATTTTTTACATTTTTATTTTTTTATTTTTTTTAGTCATTTAGCAGACGCTCTTATCCAGAGCGACTTACAGGAGCAATTAGGGTTAAGTGCCTTGCTCAAGGGCACATCGACAGATTTTTCACCTAGTCGGCTCGGGGATTAGAACCAGCGACCTTTCGGTTACTGGCACAACGCTCGTAACCACTAAGCTACCTGCCGCCCTCATTTGCGACCAAGCTTTAACTTCCTGACTGATGTCTTGAGATGTTGCTTCAATATATCCACATAATTGTCCTTCCTCATGATGCCATCTATTTTGTGAAGTGCACCAGTCCCTCCTGCAGCAAAGCACCCCCACAGCATGATGCTGCCACCCCCGTGCTTCACGGTTGGGATGGTATTTTTCGGCTTGCAAGCAACCTCCTTTTTCTTCCAAACATAACGATGGTCATTATGGCCAAACAGTTCTATTTTTGTTTCATCAGACCAGAGGACATTTCTCCAAAAGGTACGATCTTTGTCCCCATGTGCAGTTGCAAACCATAGTCTGGCTTTTTTATGGCGGTTTTGGAGCAGTGGCTTCTTCCTTGCTGAGCGGCCTTTCAGGTTAGGTCCTCTGTAGCTCAGCTGGTAGAGCACGGCGCTTGTAACGCCAAGGTAGTGGGTTTGATCCCCGGGACCACCCATACACAAAAATGTATGCACGCATGACTGTAAGTCGCTTTGGATAAAAGCGTCTGCTAAATGGCATATTATTATTATTATTATATAGATACTTTTGTACCTGTTTCCTCCAGCATCTTCACAAGGTCCTTTGCTGTTGTTCTGGGATTGATTTGCACTTTCCACACCAAAGTACGTTCATCTCTAGGAGACAGAACGCATCTCCTTCCTGAGCGGTATGATGGCTGCGTGGTCCCATGGTGTTTATACTTGCGTACTATTGTTTGTACAGATGAACGTGGTACCTTCAGGCATTTGGAAATTGCTCCCAAGGATGAACCAGACATGTGGAGGTCTACAATTTTGTTTCTGAGGTCTTGGCTGATTTCTTTAGATTTTCCCATGATGTCAAGCAAAGAGGCACTGAGTTTGAAGGTAGGCCTTGAAATACATCCATAGGTA